GCATGAAGAAAAGGCATCTACAGTGGGAGTGTTGATGAATGGGAAGAACAGATTCTGTCTGTCCTGATAGCATAAGGGCAGGAGAGACAGCATACATAGGCTGTTGAGGCCTTGCAAGAGGACTTGAGTTTGATCTCCAGAACCCATATAAAAAAGCCAGGCCAGTGGTATGTGGGTGTCATCCTAGCTCTGGAGATGGGGGTGGGTGGGTGGGAGGGAAGCAGATCCCTCTACTCAATGCAACCAGCCTAGCCTACTAGAAAGACTTCAGGTCAGTGAGAGAATGTGTTTGTGTCAGATGAATAACGTGGACAGCACATAAGGAATGACAGCCAGGTTTCCTCTAGTCTCTGTATGTACATGCATACATGGTTACCCATAGGTACATGAGCACAAACACCCATGTACACACCATTACACACAATAAACAAAAACATGAATAATACTGCTAACAGTTAGTGGCTGAGTAGTTGGGTTCTGGGCTAATGTCTGTATTGGCCCTTATATGATCATTATTATTCTGTTTTATAGACAGGAAGTAGGGGCTTACAGATACCGTGTGTCATTTTCCCATAGTCACAAAGATGACAGATGGCAGAGCCAGAGCGTGAACTTTGGCTCTCTACTCCAGAGTCATCCTATTAGCTGCTCTTCCTTAAGGGATAAACTGCAAATTTATGTGAGATTTTATTTGTAGGAATGAGATGACAGAAAGAGACCCCAAGGGCTAGGGACCATCTGTGCCTCATGTACAAGGAAGTCATTCTTTTCCAACAAAGAGAACGATGATTTTTTTCTTTTCTTTTTTGTTCCTTTCAATGCAATACTTCTCTCCTGTAAGCTTATGACATCCATGGGTTCCAATGTTGGCATCAGAGTGAAGCAGGGGCTCATACATGTTCTTTGAAGAGCAAAAACTATTTTTTTTTCCTACACATTAGATGCAGGATGAGTGCTCTGGTCAATAATTACAGTAAGTGATATAAAATCCTTACAATTGTCTAAACAACTGTGTTTGGTTTGTTTTTTCTTCTTGTTTTGTTTTCAGCCTGGTGAATTTCAGCAATTGCTACTTAATTAAAGCGCATTGATTTTCTAACACCTGTTAAAAGATTGGGGTTCTACCAGCACCCATTAAACAGCAGGACTCAAAAATTTCCATAGTAGTCCAGAGCCTGCTGTCTCCCCCACAGGAAGGAATGTGGCAGATTGGGGCCTCCAATAAATATTTGTTAAATGAGACAGGGACTGAATTTTGCAAATACGCACCGTAATAGAAAAGGTACTGTGCGTCATGCTGAGGACTTCTAGGGAAGAGAGGTCTGGTTTTAGCCACATAATGCTTTTTCTCCACACATGGCAGGCTGGCCAGCTCCTCACTGCCTACCTGGAGGAATGCTGTGTCTACCAAATGTAGCAGTATTAACAGGCTTAAAAAAAACTTATCACCATGAACCTCTCTCTCTCTCTCTCTCTCTCTCTCTCTCTCTCTCTCTCTCTTTCTCCACCATGATGAAGGAATACTGACTTCCTCTTCCCTCCATACAGTATATTCCTTTCTCTTATGAATTTTGTTAGTTGCTGTTTTATACATGTATAGAATGTGTGCTAACTCTCTGCTCCCAGAGTCTCCCTCCCCATCTCTCTGCAAGCTCCTCCTCATCCCTACTACTCCCTTTCCTCGATCATACTTTTGATTGTGTTTTATAACTCATTTAGTTTAATCAAGGCCATCCATGTGACCAATGAGTTGGATCTATCTGGTAGAGCTCAGTGGAGTAGGCAGCTGGACACACTGAGGGCCGACTTCCCAGTCTCTCTGGATTCATCAGTAGCAAATAGCTCGGTAGGGGGAGTTAGGCCTCTTTCCCCTTCTCATTTCCCCTTTGCTCCCCCTCCCCTCCCTCTCTGTGCCTGATGATAGGCCTGTTTTGGGTGTAGATCCACCCATGGCTGGGGCAACTGCATGATTGCAATGGCAGTGTCTTACCCAGGATTCTTAGCTCCTCCCTATCTTTCATTCCACCGTCTCCTGAAGCGTCCCTGGACCTTAGAGGGGATGGTATAAATGTCTTGTTTAGAGCTGAGATCTCAACGATCACTTGGTCATTTAATCCTAGCCCCGAGTCTCTGTATTCATCCTACGCAATGGACAGAAAGGCCTCTCTGTTTAAGTCTGAGAGTAAAATGTCTATAGGTATAAGCATAGATAGTTTGAGGGCAGTTTGACTTTGTGTCAGAGCTCATTTCAGCAAAAGGCAGGATACAAACTTAACGTGTAAGAAATCAGTAGGCTTTCTGTCTACCAATGATAAACACACTGAGGAGGAAATGAGGGGAAACAGACTTACACACGGCAGCCCTCCAGCAAACCTAACTAAAGAGGTGAAGGACCTCTACTATGAAAACTTTAAAACTCCCAAGAAAGAAATTAAGGAAGATGCTCGAACATGGAAAGACCCCTCCACCGTGCTTATGGATTAGTTAATGTTGTCAAATGACCATCCCGCCAAAAGTGGTTTATAGATTGAGTGCACTCTCAATTAAAATCCTTATGTCATTCTTCAAGAAAAAAAATACAATAACAACAACAACAACAGCAAACACATAGTATTTTTCTTATTGTGAGTTAGGGCAAGTTCAGCATCCCCAGGGCATAGCAGGAGCGGAGAAGTGACTTCCCAGCCCGCATGAAAAGTGGGAAGCTATGCTTGGGTGGCTTCCCATCCCCAGCTGCAGGGATACCTGGGTGAGACCCCGTTCCCTCAGCGAGTTCAAGTTGCTGTCACAAGGGCTATAAAGGAACACTTGGGCCTGGGTTCTCATATCTGTAGCCAGACTTCACGAGTATTTTTAGGGCTCCCTTTGTCTCAACCTGATTTCTGCTTGAAACTTTTACCACATGTAGCCTGTGTTTAAATGACTTTTAAACTACTCTCTGGGTATTGGGGGAGGGGTTGGGTCACACACAACTGCAGCCTTTAAGTGGGTTTTTTCTTTCTTTCTTTCTTTCTTTCTGATTTTTTTTTTAATTGCTAAATATCCAACAAGCTGAGCAGAGGAAACTCAAGCCTAACCCTGGAGGGACCCCTGGTTAGTCATCTGTCTAGACAGATGAGAGTCTGCACTGGGACTCTTGTTTCTTTTGCTGTTCAAAACAGAAGGTGGGCCTTCCCTTTCAACTCTGAAGATATTGACCCCCAACCTGCTGTCAATAAGCCAAGACAGGGATTCACCCACCCACCCTCAGACCAACAGTGACCTTGCATGTGACAATTGAGTTATGAATGAGTAGCAAGAAAATGCAGGCTTTGCATAGAGGAGACCAGGTTCCAATCCAGCAAGCCTGCTACCCTTTCAGGACCTCACTTTGCTTTCCTCCAAAATGAGGATTTATCTTTTAAAACCTCACTTTTTTTTAATGACTTGTAAAGAACAAAATGATCTAACACACAAAAATGCTCCGTGCCTCGTAAGGGCTGAAGAAATTGCCCTTCTTTATTCGTTTCCTGGTCACTGCTGAAGCTCTCAACTTTCTTGCTTTTTCTATTGTGGGAATTCAATGGAAAAAGTAGGAGGTACAGCCCATGTTTTTAGCATCAAGTTGACAAAAAGGGAGTGGCTGATGTCATTTCAAAGTATAGAAAAGCTGAAAGTGTCTGTGAGAGGGGAAGGATGCAGCAGATATTGTTTATCAATATGAGGTACCTAAAGACAGTCAAATTCATAGATTCCAAGAGACATGGTAGATGCTGGGGCCTGGGATGGTGGATGGAGAGCGTCTAAGCATGGAGTCTTTAGAGTTTCAGTTAAGCCGGAAGAGTGAGCTCTTGAACTTCTCCATATGACAGTGTGGTGGCTAGTCAACAAAAGGACCATGTCCAATTAAAAGTGTGCCAGATGAAAGGATAGCAAATGAGGTGTTCTTCTCATCTCCCACCTTCCTCAGAAAAATGGGCCAAATCCAATTTTCTCAAAGTAGATGGCCCATGTTTTTAAAGTGTGTGCGTGTGTGCATGCACACACACGATGCATGGTTCCCATGCTTACGCTCTGTGGACATGTAGAGAGGCCACAGGAGGACACTGGGTGTTTTGTTCTCTCACCCACTACCTTATTCCCTGAGGTAGCATCTTTCACTGACCCAGAAGCCTAGTCTTCTGTCTCCACGTCCCTGCTGCACTGGGGTTACGGGTCTGCTTAGTCATACCCAGCTCTTCACGTGGGTGCCAGGGACTGAACTCAGGTCCAGAAGCTAGTAAATAATAGCTCTCATTTCCTGAGCCACCTCCTCCCTGCCCGAAAGTAGACAGCACACTAACTGTCTTGCTCCTTGAGCCTCTCATTTTCAGTTCTGTATGGACTGGAAGTTTTACCTCATTTATCCAGTTCATTTTCACTGTGTATGCACTGTGCTATGGGAAGACCACTTGCTTGGAAGGGGAACATGGGCCTGAAGCAGAAAGGCACAGACGTCCCACCTTCTGGGCTAAAGCACAGGTGTCCCCATTCCTGTTGACAAGGCCCCTCTCGGATGCTTTGCTTCTGATCATTTGTGCTGTTGCTATCATTTGTGCTATTTTTAGACTGTGGGATTGATTATTGGATGTGATTTCGTGTGGTGTCTGAGAGCACAGTGAAGCCCAAAGGGGTGCAAGGCCCACCACTGGTCTAAGTGCACAGGTCGACTAGGGATGTGTTTGACCCCCACAGCCATCAGGGGTGAGCCTCTTCTTAGCTACTATGTGTCTTTGGATTCATCTGTCTGACACTTGGTGAAGCCTTACTTCTTTGAGGTGTTCATCTTTCTGCAGCCAGGGAACTTGAACTTGGCTTTATGCAGGGTCTCAATTGCATGTTCCTTATTCTGCAGCATGAGGCTGTGGATGGACAGGATGACCTGGCCAGTGTGAATCCTGTGAACCCTGGGGCTTCCATAAGGCACCCTGCATACCTTACATGCCTGCTACTGAGATCAGAGACATCAATATCCACCAGAAAAATGTCTCCAAGGTCCCTTAGAGCAATCCGTACAGGCAATAGGCTGCATACATTCCTGAGGAGGTTGCTGTTAGTGTCTGCTGCACACTAGGCCCCTGTGAGAAAAGAAACTTGATTGATTGACTTAACCAACTGCAG